TGCATGGTCCTACCTGGAGCTGTTCAATCTGTTTACCTGTTTATGATACGCCTCTCTCTACTAGTGAGGCCCAGTACTGAAAACAGCTTAGCGCCAGGTGCAGTGAGCTTACAACTGTAACCCCAGCACTTTGGGAAGCTGAGGCGGGTGAATCACTTAAGGTCAGTTCGAGACCTGGCCAACAGGGTGAAACCCGTCTCTACTAAAAATACAAACATTAGCTGGGCGTGGTGGTGCATGCCTATAACCCCAGCTACTCAGGAGGCTGAGGCAGGAAAATTGCTTGAATCCAGGAGGTGGAGGTTACAGTGAGCCGAGATCGCGCCACTGCACTCCAGGCTGGGTGACTGAGCAAGATTCCATCTCAAAAAATATATAAATATAGGTCAGGCGTGGTGGCTCACGCTTGTAATCCCAGCACTTTGAGAGGCCGAGACAGGTGGATCACGAGGTCGAGAGATCAAGACCATCCTGGCCAACGTAGTGAAACCCTCTACTAAAAAAAAACAGAAAAAATGAGCCGGGAGTGGTGGCGCACGCCTGTAGTCCCAGCCACTTGGGAGACTGAGGCAGGATCACCTGAACCTGGGAGGCTGAGGTCTGCAGTGAGCTGAGATCGCACCACTGCACTTTTATTTATATTTATATATAAACAAAACAGCTTAGCACAGAACATTCATTTTAAATACTTGTTAGATGAATAAAGGAAGGGAACAGGGCCCGAGTCACAGGCCTCCAGTCTATGAGTTGGCCTGGCACAGAACTTCCCACTGCGGGGGTTAGGATGTCTGTGTTACATGGTGACAAGCCTGTCTTGGTGAGTTTTCCACATGAGACCCAAGGCCAGGACAGCAGTAGCAGAGGAACAAAGGAGTTCTAGAAGCTGTGTCATGAGAACGGCAATCACCGCTGGCTGTGTCTCCGAGCCAATCCTGTGTCCACAGCAGAACCAAGGCCATCTTGCTTTCCCTTGAGGCCTGGCCAGGTGGCTGCCAAGATGGCTTCCTGGCTGTCCTCACTTCAGTATGTGCCTTTACAATAAAGCTTCATCCCCTGAGGGCTTCTGGTGACCTCAAAGAGCCTAACATGGCTCCTACCCTAAAGAATCAGCTAACGGGGGCGGGAACTATACTCAACTCATCCCTGGTCTGCTCCGAGGATGGAAACCGTAACTTCTGAACAGCAGGTATTCAATAAGATCCCAACATCAACGAAAACCCTGAGGCATTTCCCACCACATGCCCCACCTCAACCTCACACACGACACATCATCGCAACAAGGCCAGTTCACCTGCCACACCAAACACACCAGGAACCTTCAAGTGTGCTCCCAAATCTTAGATCAAGTATTTGGCCTGGCATTCTTTGCCCATTTACGAGACTCTATCCTTTTTGAGACAAGGTCTCAGTCCGTCACTCAGGCTGGAGTGCAGTGATGTAATCTCAGCTGGTTGCTACCTCTGCCTTCCAGGTTCAAGTGATTCCTGTGCTTCAGCCTCCCAAGTAGCTGGGACTACAGGTGTGCCGCCACACTCAGCTAATTTTTTTTTAATTTTTAGTAGAAATATGGTTTTGCCATGTTGGCCATGCTGGTCTTAAATTCCTGACCTCAAGTGATCCAACCACCTCTGCCTCCTAAAGTGCTGGGATTACAGGCGTGAGCCAACACGCCTGGCCTGGACTCCATTCTTTTTTTTTTTTTTTTGAGACAGAGTTTTGCTCAGCTGCCCAGGCTGGAGTGCAGTGACATGATCTCGGCTCACCGCAACATCGCCTCCCAGGTTCAAGCAATTCTCCTATCCCAGCCTCCGTGGTAGCTGGGATTACAGGTGCCCACCATCACGCCCAGCTAATTTTTGTATTTTTAGTAGAGACAGGGTTTCACCACGTTGGCCAGGCTGGTCTTGAACTCCTGATCTCAAGTGATCCACCTGCCTTGGCCTCCCAAAGTGTTAGGATTACAGGCGGGAGCCACTGCAACCAGCTCTTATTCTCTCTATTGGGTTTTCTTTTATTAACCCAATAATGTTTCAACCTTGGCTTGGCAAGTTCATTGGGAAAGCGAAGAACCGAGCCCTCTGAAGCGCAGGTGAGCAGAGGCTAGTGCCTTCGATGGCAGGCAGGGTTGTGGTCTCAAGAATGCCCTTGAGCAGAATGAGAGAAAATGAAGAAAGGCAGAGGCCCACAACGGATGGACACAAGCTTTGGATGTGACGAAGCAGCCTCAACTAACTGGATGTGGAGGGAGCAGAGGTGTTAATAAAAATGCCAAGGTCCTCAGAAAAGGCAGTTCAAGCAGTAATGACAGAAGCAGAAATTCAGAGGCGTTAAGGAGAGAATTCTTCCAAGCTAGACGTAGTTTGATGAAGTGACGATAGTTTTTCCTCAGGAAGTCAGTCATGTCCAAGTAGGACTCCAGTGAGAGGTAAGCGCTGCAGACAGATGGGAGAAAGGGGGACAAACATCCCAGCTGCGGGTGCTCGTGAAGAAATCTAGTGTTTAGTGTCTTTCGTTGGTTTCCTTTTCTTTTTTTTTTGAGACGGAGTCTTGCTCTGTTGCCCAGGCTGGAGTGCAATGGTGCCATCTCGGCTCACTGCAACCTCTGCCTGCCTCCTGGGTTCAAGTGATTCTCCTGCCTCAGCCTCCTAAGTAGCTGGGATTACAGGTGCACACTACCATACCCAGTTAATTTTTGTATTTTTAGTAGAGATGGGGTGTCACCACGTTGGCCAGGCTGGTCTCGAACTCCTGATCTCAAGTGATCCACCCACCTCGGCTTCCCCAAGTCCTGGGATTCAGATGTGAGCCACTGCGCTGGACCTAGTGCCAGTGTCTTTAACACTCTGGTTTAGGGCACAGTTCAGTGTCTTCCCACTGGAGAAGTGAGTCCCTCATGTACCTGCAGTAAGTAGCAAGCAAGTGCAGTACCCTCCACAGAGGTCTGATGAGCATACCTCCCACCTGGGAAACAGCTTACTCCGGAAGCTGCTCTCCTCCCAGAGGACCAAATAAAAGGTGACTTGTCGAAACATACACTTAGGCGACACGCCTTCCCGGCTGCATGCTGAAGCCAGCTGCATGGAGCACAGTGAGACAGGGAAGCTGCCCTTCTGGAGCTCGTTGCTGAAGGATGGTGCAAGCAGCCACTGGCTGCACTGCAGCCAGGCCAAAGCACACAGCTCAGCAACCCTCTCCCACGGCCAGGAGTGGAGGAAACAGGTGCCCATGCATCTCCTTCTGGACGGCTCAGCCCTTTGCTAACAACTCGAATTTAAAGTAAAAAAAATCCATGGCTGTTTTCCAGATTTTAACCCTGAGCCCAATCCCTAAAAAATCTCAGGCCCCTAAAAACATTCCAAGACAATCACATGACACGTATGAACTGTGGACTACTTACCAACACATACATAATTCTTCTCATAGAACGAAAGCCAACTTTGAAGTGTCAGCATCTCAGAGAATGACAAGTCAGATATATCATCCACAAGGCCTGCTTCAGAGTAGTCCCCAGTCACAAATGCTCTGGATGCATCTCGGCCTGTAGGAGAGAACTTTCCATCAGATCCAGTCGTAAATGGCTGACACCATACAAACTCAAGAATGTTTTTTTTTTTTTTTGAGACAGTGTCTCACTCTGTCACCCAGGCTGGAGTGCAGTGGCACAATCTTGGCTGACTTTGCAACCCTGGCCTCCTGGGTTCAAGCAATTCTCCTGCCTCAGCCTCCCCAGTAGCTGGGATTACAAGCACCTGTCACCACACCCAGCTAATTTTTCTGAGATGGACCCTCACTCTGTCACCCCAGGCTGGAGTGCAGTGTCACAATGTTGGCTCACTGCAATTTCTGCCTCCCGAGTTCAAGCAATTCTCTGCCTCAGCCTCCGAGTAGCTGGGATTACCGGCGCTGCCACCATGTCCGGCTAATTTTCCTATTTTTAGTAAAAACGGGGTTTCACCGTTTTGGCCTAGCTGGTCTTGAACTCCTGACCTCGTGATCCCCCTGCCTCAGCCTCCCAAAGTGGTGGCCAGGCTGTTCCTGAACTCAGGCGATCCGCCTAGCTCAGCCTTCCAAAGTGCTGGGATTACAGGTATGAGCCACTGCACCCAGCAAGACCAGCGCCTTAACCTCAATCTTTTCTAAGAAAGACAAACATGTGCATCTGTACTAGAAGCAAGAATGACTCAGACCAAATGTACTGCATGACGGGCCACAAAGGAATAAAGTACTGATACATGCTGACAAACCATGGATGAACCGTGAAAACACTATGCTAAGGGGGTGGGGTAAGAAAGATTACTTTGGATGCGGGCATAAGGAAGAGATGGGTGGAATCAGTAAGGAAACGGTGAGGGTAGGGGCGGAATCTCATTTATCTGTGCCCTGAGAGCACCCACAGAAGTCTGGGACAAAGCCCGTATCCTCGGGCTTCCGACGGTGGGTAATGGGTAACAAGAGACAGAAGACACGTTTCTCCACCAGTTACGCAAGGCGGTGGTGAATGACAGAGCTGGCCATAGTCCCGACCGAGCCACAGAGACCAGAAGGATGGTGCAGCTCAGTCCTGGCCGCGCGCGGGTTCGCTGGATGCGGCGTGGGGGGCAAAATACATGAAGAATTAATGAACCAACGACGCGCAGGTGGCTACCGGCTCGCGCCGGCGGAGGCCAAGGCCTGAGTAACGTCGCTGATACCTGCGAAGCCGCTGTAGTGGGACCCAGGCTCGTAGTGCCTCCGGCCGGAGGACACATCGTAGACACGGCCGAGCAACGCCAAGTAGAGGCCCGGGTCCCCAGAGCCGCCGCGGTAGCGAGACAGCTCCTCCGGTATGAAAAGGCGAACACCAGCGCGGGGACCCCACCAGCCCGTAAGCCGTGCTGCCATCACCGCTGCTGCGGCTACGGCCAGGGCCAGCAAAACCCCGCGGCCTCCAAGCCTCAGCATCTCCACGACCGCACCCGCAGCGCACTTCCGAAGTTGCCGCCCCTCGGTCCAAAACTAAGATGGCGGAGACGCCGACAGTGACGTCATCGGCGCGCTCCCTCTCTCTCGCTCTCTGTATTCCTGTCTCTGGCGAAAAGCTCAGTCTGACTCCGACTTTTTCCTCGTACTTCCTTTTTTTTTTTTTTTTTTTTTTTAAAAACAGAATTTTCGGTTTTGTCGCCCAGGCTGGAGTACAGTGGCCCAATCTCGGCTCCCTGTCACCTCCGCCTCCTGGGTTCAAGACATTCTCCCGGGATTGCAGGCACCCGCCACCACGCCCGCCTAGTTTTTTGTATTTAGTAGAGACTGGGTTTCACCACGTTGGTCAGGCTGGTCTGGAACTCCAGACCTTTGGTGACCCACCCGCCTCCCAAAGGGCTGGGATTACAGGCGTGAGCCACGGCGCCCTGCCCTTCTCGTACTTCTTGGCTTGCAGGCTGTCTGCCGAAACAAAGATGGCGGCAGCGGAGGCTGCGGAATGACGTAACGTTGAGACGGACTAGTCCTCTGGGAAATCCAGGTTGCTCTCTTCGCGGCCGCCTAGCTGTCGTGAGCTGCTAGAGACCGCCTACCTACATGACGGCATCTTTGCGACAGCGGTCCTCGCTTGACGGCCAGGAAGCCGGAAGCCGCAACCGCAGCCGCAGCCGCGGTCTCCTGCCAGTCCCCGCCCGCCGGCTGCTGTCGGAGGTTGACAGGTCGAGGCGGGGAGGCGGCAGCGGCTGCAGAGCCGGGCGCCCAAGACGGAGACCCCATGGGGAACGCTCCGAGTCACAGCAGTGAAGACGAAGCGGCAGCCGCCGGGGGCGAGGGCTGGGGCCCCCACCAGGACTGGGCCACGGTCTCGGGCACGACCCCCGGCCCGGGCCTCGCGGCTCCGGCGCTACCACCCGCCGCGGCGCTGCTGGAGCCGGCCCGGCTGCGGGAGGCGGCCGCTGCGTTGCTGCCCACACCCCCCTGCGAGTCGCTGGTGTCGAGGCACCGCGGCGCGTTGTTTCGCTGGCTGGAAGAGCGGCTGGGGCGCGGCGAAGAGTCTGTCACTCTGGAGCAGTTCCGGGAGCTGCTGGAGGCTCGCGGAGCCGGCGGCTCTGGCGAGCAGTTCGAGGAGGTCAGGGCGGGCCGGCGCCGGCGGGGGCGGGGCAGGGCGATCGCCCCCAGGGGACTGAAGGAAGAGGTGGGCGTTTGCTTTGGAGAGGCCAGGCGGGGACCCTCACGAGGTGCTTCCAGCGTCTCAGCGGGCGTTTGGTTGGTCTCGAGCCTGTTAGAAGTGTGGAAAGCCCGGATTAGGCCGTTCTTGCTCGGAAGAGCTGGACAAACCCAGATATGTCTGTCTCTGTTGTAACATACAGGCATTTGTGCAGCTGACTGGCGCTGCTCTCTGGAGATCTTTTATCGGGTTCTAGAACAGTTTGAAAAGAGATGTAAGGATAGGAGGAGTGGCGGTGAAAACCATCTTGCTATATTGGCCTGTCCGGGTTTTTGCACAGCAGCTTCCGAATTCATTGTGGGCACCGAATAAAATGTGAAAGACAGCACATACTGGAAAGGCTCACCTTCTAGAGCCTATCCTCCTCACGCAATAACTAGCTTTTCCAAAATACACATTGGTTTGTAGATCTTTAAAGAACCATATATTAGACTCATTTAAACTTTCATGGGCTCTGAAACTGATAGGCAAATACCAGGTTTCCTGTGAATACTTGTAATTATATAGTTTTCATATATTCACCAAGATCATGTCTGCTAAATCATTAAGAAAGCAAATTGGGCCGGGCGCTGTGGCTCACGCCTGTAATCGTAGCACTTTGGGAGGCCGAGGTGCGTGGATCATCTGAGATCAGGAGTTCAAGACCAGCCTGGCCATCATGGTGAAACCCCACCTTTAAAAAAAAAAAAAAAGCAAATTGATTTGGTAGCAAAATATTTTCTTTGGAAGGCGTCTTGGGAATTACCTCTACTGGGCACTTAGAGTCAAGAAGACTGATCCATGGTTACCCAGTGAATCAGTGAAACTGAGACTGTCACCTAGAGTGCTTGCTTTTTTTTTCTTTCTTTCTTTCTTTCTTTCAACTTGTATCTTAAATTCAGGCGTACATATGCAGGATTTGGATTTGCATATATGTTACATAGGGAAACGTGTGCCATGGTCGTTTACTGCACAGGCCACCCCATCAGCCAGGTATTAAGCCCAGCATCCATTAGCTCTTCTTCCTGATGCTCTCTCTTCCCCCACCCTTGCCCTATTTCTTGTTTATAATATTTCACTACCTCCTTCCTGGGATCCTATTTCTTTTAACTCTACAATATGACAAAAGTGCTGCATTTGTGAAAATGAGTTAGACATGTAGAACCTTCAGTGGCCATGAAGGGTGAGGACATAGAGCAGTAAATCAGCAGGAACTTGCAATGCCTTTTTTTTTTTTTTTTTTTTTTTGAGACAGAGTCTCTCTCTTGCCTAGGCTGGAGTGCAGTGGTGCGATCTCCACTCACTGCAATCTCCATCTCCTGAGGTCAAGCGATTCTCCTGCCTCAGCCTTTAGAGTAGCTGGGACTACAGGCGCACGCCACCATACCCGGCTAATTTTTGTATTTTTTTTTTTTTGTAGAGATGGGTTTTCACCATATTGGTCAGGCCGGTCTTGAACTCCTGACCTCAGGTGATCTGCCCACTTTGGCCTCCCAAAGTGCTGGGATTACAGGCGGGAGCCACCACACCTGGCTTGTAATGCCTTTGAAAGGTCCTGTTCACTTTAAAATCAGGGGCTTTTAAAATATTTTAAGAATGTCTTCCTGTACATGGACAGAATTCAGATAATGTAGTTTGTGTGTTTCTTATGTTTTCCTTAAAAAAAAAAAAAAAAAGTACCTTTAAAGCATCCCAGCCCTGAAAAATAATAGTCATGGCCAGACACGGTGGCTCACACCTATAATCCCAGCACTTTGGGAGGCCAAGGTGAGCAGATCATCTGAGGTCAGGAGTTCGAGACCAGCCTGGCCAATGTGGTGAAACCCCATCTCTACTAAAAATGCAAAAATTAGCTGGACTTGGTGGCAGGTGCCTGTAATCCCAGCTACTTGGAAGACTGAGGCAGGAGAATGGCTTGAACCTGGGAGGCAGAGGCTGCAGTGAGCCGAGATTGTGCCATTGTATTCCAGCCTAGTGACAGAACAAGACTCTGTCTCAAAAAAAAAGTCGGCCGGGCCCGGTGGCTCACACCTGTAGTACCAGGACTAGAAGGCCGAGGTGGGAGGATTGTGAGGTCAGGAGTTTGTGTCCAGCCTGACCAATGTAGTGAAATCCTGTCTCTACTAAAAATATAAAAATTAGACCGGCATGGTGGCTCACACCTGCAATCCCAGCACTTTGGGAGGCTGAGGGGGGCGGATCATGAGGTCAGAAGATCGAGACCATCCTGGCCAACATGGTGAAACCCCATCTCTACTAAAATACAAAAAATTAGCTGGGTGCATCTGTAGTCCCAGCTATTTGGGAGGCTTAGGCAGGGGAATTGCTTGAACCCGGGAGGCTGAGGTTGCAGTGAGCTGAGATTGGCGCCACTACACTCTAGCCTGGTGACAGAGCAAAACTCAATCTAAAAAAAAAAAAAAAAAAGTCATATTAGTGAAAGATCTACTTTTTAAAAAAGTTTCTGAGAAAACACATAGCACCTTCCCTCTCGTATCTACGTGTATTATGAAAACATGAAGTGGTAGTGGAAAGAACCACACAGATTTGTTCAAGAAGTTGGCGCTTTGCAGATTTGTGCAAAGGCAAAGGGAGAGAAACACAATTTACACTGTGAGAATCTGACAGAAGTAGAACTTGATGTAGAGTTAACAGGAGTCACTTTATATAAGGTCAAGACATACTCGAGGTGTGGTCCAGAACACTAAAGGGTTGTGGCATTATTGTTCACTAAGCAAATGTTTATTGGGCGTATATTGAGTGCCGCTCACTTTGATGACAGTGGACAAAGAGACAGGTATTAACCCAGTAATTATAAGATGTGAGTGTTGGCTGGGCGCGGTGGCTCAAGCCTGTAATCCCAGCACTTTGGGAGGCCGAGGCGGGTGGATCACGAGGTCAAGAGATCGAGACCATCCTGGTCAACATGGTGAAACCCCGTCTCTACTAAAAATACAAAAAATTAGCTGGGCATGGTGGTGTGTGCCTGTAATCCCAGATACTCAGGAGGCTGAGGCAGGAGAATTGCCTGAACCCAGGAGGCGGAGGTTGCGGTGAGCCGAGATCGCGCCATTGCACTCCAGCCTGGGCAACATGAGTGAAACTCCATCTCAAAAAAAAAAAAAAAAAAAAAGATGTGAGTGTTAACCAAGGGAGGGCATAAGGAATAAATAGCAAGTGTATTTAACCTCATCTAGGGCTCAAGCAAGACTTACCTGAGAAAGTAACATTTCAGCCACAGGTGAATGGTGAAAGCAGACAAGGCACAGGAGGTAGTAACAGTGTTTCAGGCAGAAGAAATTGTATCCACGAAAGTCCAAAGTTCATAGAATCTGGAAGAAGATTGGTATGGTTTATCAGGGATAGACAAAACTATTTCAAGGGACGGAAAACCTAATACACCAGTGATTTTTTTTGTTTTTGTTTTTGTTTTTTTTTTTTGAGACAGAGTGTCACTCTGTCACCAGGCTGGAGTGCAGTGTTGTGATCTCGGCTCACTGCAACCTCCAACTCCCAGGTTCAAGCAATTCTGCCTCAGCCTCCTGAGTAACTGGGATTACAGGTGTGCCACCATGCCCGGCTAACTTTTGTATTTTTAGTAGAGTTAGGGTTTCACCATGTTGGCCAGGCTGGTCTTGCTCTCTTGACTTTGTGATCTGCCCACCTCAGCCTCCCAGAAGTGCTGGGATTACAGGCAGGAGCCACCACGCACACCCGGCTTATATTGCTATATTTTAATGCAAGGTGAAGGGTCTGTGAAATAATTAAATGTTTTTATAGTAGCAACTAAAATGAGGAGTTGTTTCCTTCACTTTTATAAGAGCTAACGTGGTAAACAGATAATCGTTGGTGTGTGTGATTTCTTAGAATGCTAAGAGTTTCCTAGTGTTCCATGTTTGTTCTTTGGCTTCCTAACTTACACTGCCGTTTGCATCCATACAGCTGTCTTGCTTTCACGTTGCTGTGAACTCAGTTTCTTAGGAGGTGTTATAAGGAAGTTCTGGCCGGGCGTGGTGGCTCAGGCCTGTAATCCAAGCACTTTGGAGGCCAAGGCGGACGGATGACCTGAGGTCAGGAGTTCAAGACCAGCCTGACCAATGTGGTGAAACCCCGTCTTTAAAAAAAAAAAAAAATAGTTCTTGGAGTTGGATCATGGACCAAAGTCTGAAACATTATCGTTTTATAGTACACACACCTTTTCTCGTTGTAGGCGTGGTCCAGGGAGAAGGGACTCTGTAGTTAGCTCACAGGGAGCAGTATTTAATTAACTCCCATGTAGAGGGGAAAATAGAATTAAAATTAAGTTCTTATTTCACAGCAGAGATTAGAGATTAGATATTTAATACTCTAAGAGTACGCTTCTAGAAAATCTATGGCAGAAAAAAGCATGCTGAGCACAGGATGATAACAGATGGCCTTAAAGTGAAATTTCATATGAATAGCTCCTACTTTATGAATTTGCCACATTAGCTTTGGTGCCTACTTTGTGAAATTCATGGGGTTGTAAGTTCTGAGGGAAGGGCCTTTTTGATTCATCTGTATTCATCCTCTTAGCACAGTGCTGAGTGGTTGCTGGTGCTCACTGTGATTTAGGAAACTAAGTTGTAGTCCACACACACTCAAACCTCAGATTTTATATTCAGTCTATAACCTTTTAATAATAAAATATTTCTTGATATAGTTAAATAGAGTTTTTGTGAAAACTGTAAAAGGTTCTTAGTCACTTTTAGGTTTACAGGAAGTTTAGAGAAAAGCCCTATGTCCATCTTCATATTATTATGTGAAAAGTATTAATCAACTCATTTAGAATGGTTTTGAACCCAGGAATTGTGCCTGTAGGAATATGCAGATGTGATTCTCTGCCCTTTTAAGACAGCAGACAGTGAGAGCTGTGTGTGCACCATAAAGCTACAGTGGACTGC